CTGGTTGTGTGAAAACTGACTCAAAATAATGTGAATAAATACAAAGTAATGTACAGAAATTCACTTCATAATTTTCAAAGAAAGACCATGTCATCCTTTCATGATCATTCTATTAGTTCTCTTGCATTAGGAAAGAGTGAATTATTAATTCACTACCTATTTATTTATGATAATCAAGTTGGGTGTGGGACAAAGAACCTTATAGTATTTATTCACATACTAAGGTATGAGGAATCCTGGGCTCCCTGCTCTAGAAACCATCCTATAGGGTAGTTTCTGTATTTTTGTCAAATTCCTTAAAATCTACATGAGGCAGTGCTGAGTGTCAGCTTAGAAACTGGCTGGCTGAAATTACTCAGAAAAATTGCCTGGGTTTCATTCTAAGTGGCTGCTACTGAATCAGTACGACGGCCTATTCAATTCCCAGTGCCCTAGAGGATTTCTCCTTGAAGAACAAAAGAAGCAGATATAAATTTTAATAAATCATATTTTAATTTGTGGCTCAAAGGGCACCTCACTTAGGATATAGAGAAGTGAAAACAAACATACGTGGCCCCACATAGCAGAAACCCGGGGGTTCCCTCTGGGGGAAATCTGGTTTATGTAGTCCCACGTTCTTCTCTTCCTTTGGAAATGCGGCATTTAACATAAGAAAAAAAATTTCCACCCCACCCCAAAGAACCAATGCTCTTCTCTTGCTCCTTAAATGACACCTAAAAAACACACATGGTAGATTTTTTCTGCAGCAACTCTGCCTCTGATAGTGGGCTGGTGTGATGGCTTAGCTCCTGTGACAATCTCTTCTCTTTTGAATATCCACCAAACAGTCTGGACGAATCTCCTACTGTTTGAATGCTAGATGATATTTTAAGCAGTCTTCATCTATTTTAAAATTAGATAAAATATACTACATGAATGGTATCAACTTGAAAAAATATATAGTCTGGTGGTATGAGGCTATTCCCAAATATTCCCAAATATTTTCTTGTCTAACTGCCTTGAAGAAGACTCAGAAAGTGGTTAAACTAAACAAGACTTTAGATCATCTCAGGTCTTGGATCTGGGAGGAGAAGCACAAAGGGAATTGTGGGAGGTGGTCCTTGATATTTAATTGCAGAGCAGGAATCTGGTCACCCCCCCCACTCCAAAAAAAAACCTCTTTTGTTTTTTCTCATTAAACCTGAGGCAGCAGAAGGTATTTATTAAAATTTTATATTCTCTCTCCTGATCTTATGGTGCCTGCTTAATAAATATTCAAGATGTAAGGGCGATCTGGTTGAAACATCTGTCACCCCCCTGACTGCCAGGGTTGACTGGATGATATTACTCATCTTCATCCCTCAGTTTCTCCTTCTGGGTCTTTTTGAAAATAGTGTGCTTGGTGAAAAGGGAGGCCTTCCCAAAGACATACTTTGGTTATTAGAGATATATGGATAATGTGGCAACCAATCATTGCAGTTTGCCTGCGTTGAGGGGATTCCTGGCACTTTTTCAGTGCTAAAACCTATCATGTCCCAGGCGAATTGGGATGAACTGGTCACTCTAATAGCTATCTCTCTTAGCAGCATGTCTAAACACTCTCTTAGTTATTGATGAGAAGATAATAATGATGATGTATTGATATTTGGGACAATATTTTCAATGTATGGAAACTATTTTTAAAAGACAATAAATGGCTTTAATGCCTTTCAATTCTATCTCATCAATATCTGAAACTATGTACCATGTAAGTACTTGACATTAAAATAATTTGGTCTTAGACTAATTTCTACTAAAAAATTTTAAAGAAACATTAAGCAAGTGTTTAATTTATGAGTTAAAAATGTATTACTCATTGAAGAAATACATTTCCTGAAAGAGGATCCCTACATGAACACTTTAACTGTTTTCTCCAAAAATAAGCATAAATAAGCAAACAAATGTCCCCGGAGATTCAAGATTCTGCTCTTTCAGTTGTCAACCAGAGGTGATCTATTTTGATGAGTGAAATAGACACTGCCACAAAGATCTGTCACCATTAAAAATATGTTTTTTAGATTTCCAGTAAGTTTGAGGCAGTTGGTGAGAGAAACCGGGCAATAATTTCATGGACGATACTGTGGTATCTTACCGGGGTTGTTTCCTTGGTGAGGAGCACCGCTGGTGTAACTTCTTGATGTCAGAAGCAGCAAAAGCACTTGGCATCAACGTGATCCAGATGTAGGTGAAGGAGACCAACTGGGAAGCCAGGACCATCTCTTCCAAGACAAAGGAATGCAGGTGAGTGCACCTGATACTGTTATCAAGATTTCTTCTTCATGTGTCTTTTAAAAAATAAGTGGCATGCCAGGCAAAAGGTATTAAGGAAAAAAGAGAGACATTGCCTCTGGTGCTATCTTTGTTTTAGTAGATTAAATAGATTCACATCATTTACAGGCAAATATCTGTCTGCATCATCGGCAATTTAAGGAAAACAAAGCAGATTTTTTTTTATTTGCAGTTTACATCCTTTAGTCCCTCTTTCCAGGGAAGGTTCTTAGTGAGATGCTTGATCTCCTGCTCAATAAACTCTCAGCTGCAGTCCTAGGCAGACAAAGAAGTGAGGTTAGGCATTAATCCTCTTAATCCAATGCAATATCATTTAAATATATTTAATGACTGCAAAATAATATGCTTAATGAGAAAAAAGATGATTAATTTAATCTTAATTACACATTTGAAGACCTTTTCCTTTATCCCACGGTTTCTCTCAATCCAGAAGGAATCTTTTCTTCCCCAAATGCATACAAACTACCATAGCACAAACAAAAAA